GGCATATTCACAGGCACTAACTTACGGAATAATGAAGCATGCTTTTTAGCATCAGTGGCTAGTTAAATGAAAAAGTTATGTGAACACATGTGCAGCGCTAACTGAACAATGTTGGAAGTCCCGCGCTTATTCCTGCCTTCTGCACCCCAGACTGTGAAGCTGGCATGCAAGGAATGACTTTGGCCTACAGGGCAGTGGGAGCCCCTCCTGTCACTGTTTACGCACTGTTAGCATTGCTGTATGTACGTGTGCGCAGTTAAACTGGATGGAACACATTCCGGGGATCTAATGCCTCTCAGATACTACCCACATGGGATTTTCTCTGCACCTCTGCTGTAGCTGCTTTTCCATATAACCAGAAAAGTAGCTGGCAACTACCGGAAAGGCTGGGTTAGCTCTCTCTAGTTGGCATTTTTTTCTATTACAGTTTCATCTGCAAAATGCATTGTTGGGGACTGCCAAATACTGCCTGCCACGAGTGTTTTATTAATTCTCTGGATCTGCAAAGGTGCCTCAAGTTCCTCTGAGAGGTTGTTGAAGAAAGGGGGTGCTGACCTCTTTGCAACCTCAAGAAATCAGTCTTTAATTTTAACCAGAGTACATGGGATTTTTATTTCATTTAAGTAGATTGTTACTTTTATGGCTTGGTCTTTGAGAAAAATCAATGCTCAAGACCTTAGGGCTTTATTACATTAAGAAACTAATGGGCACGCACATGGCAACTCTGTGCAAACAGTGGCATGAAGATGCATTCAGGAGCAGGTGCTAAGCACAATTCACACTTCCTTGGGTCCCACTCCTGCATCAGCCCACATCTGTGAAGTTTAGTTTATGTACTGAATGATCATCAGATTTCTGCTTCTCTCTCACTTTTTTTATTAACATATCCAGCAAGGAGAGAAAGTTTGCGTGTCTGCTAATGCAGGGCATCTTTTGCAGAGGTCCTGCAGTGCAGGCATGTCACTATCTTCTGAGTAACGTGCAATTCCAACCGCAGTGTCATCATTCAAGATAATGTCGGAAGCCTAGAAGAACAGTCGTATTATCTTGAGGGAAGTTTTGGCAGTGTAAATACCATCCTTCCAGAAACAGCTGTTCTCCATACTTCTACAATTCAGATTGCATGAAAAAGGATTGTTGTGGTATCTTTTTTAACACATCTTGAGACCTATAGAATGCCTCAGGTAGATGGTCTACCTGACTTCAGTTGTGTTCTTGTTATTACCACACTCCAGGACTTTTTATTCTTCAGCAGCCAGAAAGGGAGAACAATCCTTTCCTACGGGTGCAGCACACAGCATAATGATTGTCCAGAACATAATGTGGGTTTCTTTTGTACTAGTTTATGTCCAGCACTTAGCCAACTAGTCATTTCAGTATTTTAGTATTCGGTTTTGAGTTTATGCTGGTAGGAATGGAGGAAAATACGCTATACTTTTGTATATGCATATCTAACGTTTTTCCATTTGCTTATGTATTTTAGGATTCAAACAAATCTTGGAAATTCTTCTATGTAAAGAATTGTTTAAACTTTTAAGGAGAAAACAGAGAAAAGATTTTAAATGAATCTTATTGCAATTTTTAGAATTCTCATGAGGATGTAAAGGATCATAGGAAGTGTTTTTTTCTGTTGGGTTAAAATAAGTAGTGTACATGCCGTTAGGGATCACAAATATTGTATCATTAACAATAATGGCTTCTTTAATACAGTCTTTAATTCACCTGTAAGGGTTTCTATAGAAATGTTTCTGTCTTCATAATGTAACATTGGTAATTCCTAACACTGAATTATAATTTCCGTTCTCATATGAGGAAGATGTTTTGCTCATTCTACTGGATGATTTTAAAAAAACTTTATCTGGGTTTTTTGTGAATCTTCAAGGCCACTGCCTGCAAGAACATTTCAAATCTGAACAAACTAAAAAGTCACATCAGTATGGAACTGGTTAAATTCCAGCTGTTGACTATCCATCAGGTTTGACCCATGCTGATAGATTACAGCAGGACATGGTGTTAGGACATTTACAGGAATACATCCTCTTTCAAGCATGCATTTCCAGAGTGGATTGTTTCCATTACTAGAAACAAAATGCTGTTTTTACTTTTAAACCTAATTCTTTATTCATATAAGAAAATGGTCAGAATTTTGATTAAACCATATTTCAGATTTTTTTGGTGTTTTTTTTTTTTTTACTATTATATAATTGCACCAAAAGAGCAGTTATTTTTAATGCTTACTTATATTTTTAACACTTTTTGAAAAATGTTTGGTCATTTAATGAAAGCAATTTACCTTAAAAGCAACCAAATAAACATTTTTTCAAAAATGAAGAAATTCACTTCTTTTTTCTCAAAACTGAATGACTGAAGAAACACTGCTTTGAGTTTGTTATGCCTTTTTTCAGGGTAGGTCTTTTTTCTGTCAAAGCAATGGGATCAAGATTTAAATTAGTGAAATGCCAGCTTAGAATATATGATTAAAATTGGTTTTAATGGTTGCTTTTCTAGGTCTTATGTCAGCAAGGTTACTTTTGTATCTTTAGTTAGGATTTATTTGCTAAGCCAAGGATTATTTTTCTTCTGTTGTTGCCTCATCAGATCTGGGGAGAGATCGTTCATCAACTTGGTCAGTATTCAATCACAGTGGAAATTTGGATTTTCAGGTGCTATTCTGCATCCTTGATCCAGGTCAAGACCAAGTCATTGGCACCCATGTGAAGTCAGAAGCAGGACAGATAATAGGGTTGGTGGCTAAGTTTTGGTGATATATTGTCATTAACTAACACTAATTTCATTTTTATCAAGATCTATCCCTTTCCCCTTTCTGACTGTGACTGTACAAACCTTAGCAGTAATTCAGACTATGAGATGTAAGGTGAGCTGCGTGTGAATCAAAGGTTTTCATATGCAACACTAGTTGGAAGTTGCCATTCATTTTTTCTTCCATTTTGTGGTTTGCATGGAAGTATGCCAAGTGTGGTGCTGGGAGACAGTTCTTTCAGCACTGACAGACTTGGAAGAAGAGTGTGTTGCGGGATTCCTGATACAATACACATATTGGGCAGTACTTCAACTTTGCAGTCATTGAGTAGTCATAGGCTTAAGCAAATTCCACAGCTGCATAGCTGGCAAATTCCACAGCTGGCGTACAGGTGTTTGATGATTCAGCTGCTTTACTATTGTGTACCTTCATTTTGGCCATTTTATCCTTTAGATGCTTGTGAAAGGTTATAGTCCAGGGTGACATTGATGTATAAGTGAGCTCATATTTCTTCAGCAGTGTAGAAGCACGAGACGAGACTGGCTGTGTCAGCACTTTGAGTAGCATCTGAGTAAAAGAGTATAATAACTCTATGACAAGCTGAAGCAGACGTCATCTGCTTTTTTGGAGAGCAGGTAGAAGGTCATCGTTGTAATGATTCCACAATGTGACTACAAGTAGTGGTGTCCTGGAGAAGGCAGGACCTTTTCTATATGCTTCTTTTGCTGTGTCTTGAGCTTTCTAAACCATTTGTCTTGATTAAATTTGTATCAATCAACACACAGAGTGTTAATCCACACTTGTTAACATACATGTAAGGATGGAAGTCCCAAAGACCTTAAAACATAGAGGAAGCAAAACTATTAATGGATAGGCAGTTGCCTGTCCGGTGCAAACCTGGTTTCAACAGGGCAACACCCCTTGAGACATTCAACTAGCCAAAAGGAAGAACATGCAGCATTATGTTTTTAGGAATTTCAGAACTATTATGCTTTCCTGGGAGGATACCAGTCTTCGCACTGAATGGCTATACTGGACGATATGTAATGTCCGTATGGCCAATATCCCTACTCTGAAACTTGCCAGTCAAGTAGCAGAAGTTCTTTAGGCAACAAGTATCAGAAACTTAGTAAGAGCAAATCTTGCCACGGTCCCCAAAGTGTTCACCTATTTCTGACAATCAGTGTAGAGAATTTCTGTCTGTAGTTCAAGGGCATTACTCCACCTGTGCAGTCATTGTGCATAGTCATGGGTTCTGTCATGGTTCTGTCAATAGAAAGGCTGCCACATACTTTGCTCAGTACTGTTGTCTAGTAGGTCATTTTCCATCTGTAGATACTGTTTGGCTATTTAGGCACCTAATTTAGTATCACAGGTGCTTGTCAGGCTGTGTTAAGTAGGCAGGGTAAATCCCAACACTAACATGAAAGTGTTTCTTTCCCCCAGTTATCTCTCCACTGACCTAGGTCAGCAACATTCAGCAGATCAACAGTTTCTAAGATAGGTTTCAAGGTACGACACCTGCTGCGGCAATGTCATGGTGTGTGTAGAACAGGCAGTTGCCCTGAGTAGTTGTACGTACTGCATTACATAAATGCACAATGAAAAAGCTTCAGTTTCTTCTGCTGGAATGTGAGGTATTGTCATGAAAGCATGTTCCATGAAGTCCTTGAATTCCCCCACTTCTCTGTGAGGTTTTACTTTCTTCTGTGAATACTTTTGATACTCAGAAGCCGATGTCTGAAATAGATGCATGAAGATTGAAGCTGCCTGTAGCCATATGACTGCAATGCACGTGTAGCCATGGGATCGGCATGTGCAGTACTGGTTAGGGACAAATATTTCCAGGTATCTGTTCCACTGCATTGTTCACCATTTGCATCTGGCATTCACCATTTACATCTGGCTCTTGGTGGCCCCAGCTGGTGCGACAGCTATTGCATTGGTCCTAGCTGGCAGCTGAATGGGCCAGGCATGGCAACAGATATTGTTCCCAGTTTGTGGTTGGGAGCTTGTATGTGTTTGTGGTTTGGTGCCTGTCCTGGTTTCTGCTAGGATGGAGTTAATTTTCGCAAGGAGCCAGGACACATAAGCCAAGCTGGCCAAGGGGCTATTCCATACCATGTGACATCATTTATGAAAAGGTAGTTTTAATGATGTGCTGATATTTATGACTGTGGACTATCCCAAGAGGCTTACAGTAAGGTTTCTTTTCTTGTAAAATCCATTTTTGCTCTAGTGTTTGGGAGCTTTCTGCCTCTGTGGTCTGTTGCTGTGATACACAATGAGCACCTAAAGAAGCCAGATGAGACTCTTGACCTTGAGAACCGTGGACTGGTGAAGCTGTTTGAGCTATTTCAGACATTGAATAAACTACCAGTTGTAAGAATCTCTCCTCTGTCACTTGATACCCACCGAACTCTGGGGGTGCTTGTGTCTGTTACTTGGAAAGTCTGTCAAGTGGCAAAATTATCTAGAAATATTCTTAAAGTGGGGGAACAGGTGGCTTAGATTACTATCAAATACAACCAAAGGAGTACCAGTGTAAAAGGTGTGTGCATTTTTTCTTACATCATTGTTATTTTCCTTGACTACAAACACAATTACATGATTGGAATGCAACACACAGATGTACCAGGATGTGCTGTGAAAGCATTTTAGTTCAATGATGTGTTGAGGTGCTAACTTTTCAAAGTTAAGTACTATACCCTTAACACACCCAAGCAATCAGTCATGTGTAAGCCAGAGCTGTTCTGAAATGTAAGAAATGTCATTTAACACAGTCCTTCTGCAGCTTTCTTAATGTGTTGGAGCCAGTTACCAGGTGAGGTAGCCAGCTGAGAATCTGGCCTATTATTTTAATGGGAATGAAACTGCAGAGGATAACCTTCGCACTGTACAGTAAAGAAAAGGTGTTTATTGTCATTAGTTTTAGTATTGCAGTACTTTTATAGAGGTCAAAAAGCTCCTGATAAGATCTATGTATATTCTGTTACCAGCTCTTCCATGTTGCCTATATCCTTATCAAGTTTGCAAATTCTCCTCGTCCAGATCTCTGGATCTTAGAAAGATCAGTGGACTTTGGAAGAACTTACACTCCCTGGCAATATTTTGCTCGTGAGTATCATTCCTTGTGTTGCTACCTGTTGTGGCCAAGTTTTTTTAATCATTTGCCCAGTAGCAGGAAAATCAGACCATGGGGCTCACTGAAGATTTCAACTGCAGTAAAGACAGTGAATGTCGACTACACTTCTCTTGTCTTAGTTATCCACAATAAATTAGTGACAAGAATGTAACTAAAAATAAGCATGATATTTTGAAAATATAACTCAGCACAATGATATTTTTCAGTCTGTTGGGAATTTTTGTTTGTTTGTCTTATATTTTTTGATATGTCAGAACTACAGTGTCCTTCATTCCATGGGATCCTGGAGTTCCTTGTGAAAATCAAAGTGAAATACAAATGCAAAATCTTGAGAGTACATATATAACTTTTTTGTGATGATATGAGAAGTATTGTGCTGTGTCTTGTCAGGCACTACTGAATTACTTAGGATGAGAAATGATTTGGTTTTAAGAATTTCCATTCTTCTGCGCCAAGTGAAGCAATCACTGTTATTATTCAGTTACAGGGGAGAATTTACCTGACAGCACAGGGGATATTTCTCTATTAATTTAAATTAGAACAATAGAGGTTATTTTCACATATAAAAATAATTCCATTCTCCCTTGACTAGACTCCAAAGCAGATTGTTTGGAGCGTTTCAGAAAGGAAGCTAATATTCCAGTGAGGAGTGACAGCGATGTCCTTTGCACCACAGAGTATTCTCGCATTCTACCTCTTGAAAACGGAGAGGTAAGTGGTTTTGGAAAAGTAATGTGTAACACTGGAAGCAAACAACATCAGTTTCAGAAGTTTGCTGTTTCAGTAAAGACCTGGAACATGAAGTAGTTTTTCTGCTATGACTGCGTGAATCTACATGAATAAATCCATAACCAAGCACTTAAGTAGCTGGTGAGATTTTTGTGGTGAGATTCCCCATGGGAGTAGGGGCTGCTCACAGCCATCTCTGTTGATTTTTCTCATGTTGATTTAGGTACCTCACTTTAGCCATATGCATTTGAAGATGTTGACCGCATTTTCTGAATACTTCCAATGTACATAGCAGAACTTACTGCATCAGAATTGCTCATGGGAGTAAAGACTGTAGAAACAGATATTTACCGTTCAAGAATAAGTAGCTATTTAAGAAAAGAATATATAAAATGCTGCATGTTTATAATATAATACATGTGTTTGGAAAGCGTAGCTCTGATTTTAGCCATTGTTTCTTGCTACGCAGAACTGTGGCTTGTGTTATCTGAATGAATGTTAAACTCCTGGCTGTGCCGATGGCTCCTGCTGACATTCTCCTTTTATGCCTGATGTGGTTAGAATCTAGATCTGAACTCCTCCAGAGTTATCCAGAGTTTTGAGAATATGGATCTGGAGTTGTAGTTTCATATTAAAGTAGAATGTGTTTATTAACATATCTGTAAAATTTTCCCAATAAAATATTGTAAAGAATAATTTCCATAGAAGAACACTGGCAGTGCCATTCCCTTATTATGTGCTGTATGACTTTTCCTAAAGGACTTGTGCCGCAATCAGAACTGTCACCATTCCCTTGTTACATGCTTAGGAGTATAGAAGCTGTTTGAAAACAGAAATCTGTTTTCTGGTGGGTTATAAATAAATGCAATTCTCTTTCTCAGTTGTGTACATGCACACTAGATCGTTAATTTAATAGACATTCATGATTGCTAGGCTGCTGTCATCTGTTTCTTTAAAAAATAAAAAAAATACTGGAGCCCTTGTTTTGAAAGTCAGATAAACCTGCTTTCATGTGAGGGGATTTTCTAAAGCAACACTCTGTACTTTCTTCCAAAAGACCATTAATACGCTCCCAGGCACTGGACCTGGTAACAATAATATTTTCCAGGAACATTTGTGCCTTAACCCAAAAATAAATGTGCTTTGGGAAAGAGCCAAAACCTGATGGTTTTTACTTAGGCAGTACTCCCATTGACACTATCAACTGTTAATGTAACTATTTGCAACTATTCCTATTGTTTTTTCCTATTAAAATGTGTACTTTTTGTGTGTTGTACTCACTATTTTCAAAACAGATAGAGGCTTTTTTTTTTTTTTTTTGGCAATGTGCCATATGGGTAATGAGAATTCAGGAAGGTCCAAGACTAATAACACTATTTTTCCCAATGTCCTGGGTTCAATATGAAATATATAGTTGTTACTGCAAATATGCTCAGAAACAATAGTAAGTTTTTGGATTCTTTTATTAATTTTGCTCTGTGCTGCTACTGACACTTACAGTTGATATGTTTTAACAAAACCGTGCTTACTTTTTTGTTAGATTGTAGTATCTTTGGTAAATGGCCGCCCAGGAGCAAAAAACTTCACTTATTCCCCTAGTCTTCAAGAATTCACAAAAGCAACAAACATCCGCCTTCATTTTCTCAGAACTAATACACTTCTTGGCCACTTGATATCGAAAGCTCAACGAGACCCCACTGTAACCCGCAGAGTAAGTACTGTTCTCATTGAAATATACTCAACAATTATATTCAGCATGTTAGAGACCCAAAAAATGATCTGAATGTTGTAAGTTTGCAGCATCCTCACATTTGAAATTTCTAGTGGCCCGTCTTTAGATCCCCATATTTTCTCCAGGTTTGTTTGAGACAAGAAGGTAACTGGGTCAGCAGAAATTTATGGAGGGGAAGTAATGATTAATGATTTAGTGACAGACCATCTTCTTTGCCTGTTTTTGAATATGGAAGGAAGTTGGGTGTATCATGGGAGCTATAAGGATCTAAAGCGGAAATCTTCTGAACTATCTTACGCAGAGCTGAGGAACTAAATCTCTTAAGCTTTATTTGACACTACTTTCCCTTATTTATTCAAAGAAAGATTTTCAGGAAGCAGTACCTGAGATTCTGAAGAAGCACAAATGAAAGGGTCGACTCAAAAGTTAGTATTTTCCCACCAACTTTTTGAGATGCCTAGGTGTTTTCAGTGGATTTTGGGCTATCCAAGAGCTTGAAAGCCAAAGTCCCACTCCCATTCAGTGGGGAAATGTAAGGAAATTCAGCTCCCTCAAGGGAACATTGCATAGAAATTCATATACTTAGAGAGTTTGCAGACTTCATATTGTATTGTTATTTTTAACTTTTTCAGTTAAAATGAAGATTTGGTAACAATTGGAGGAAACCCTGGGGTGAGGCACTGCACATGTGAGGGTTTCTGCATCGAAAAACATAAAACTATTCCAGTTACTTGATAGGACTCCCATTAAGTACCTTTATTGTCTTAAGTAAATTTTAAGATGTTGCTCACAGGCAGATATAAATGCAGTATTTAGTTTACTTGGCAAGGAGCACAGCGTTAGTGTAAGAAATTTCTGATGTTATCATAGCCGTGGGATGTAGGATAGATGAATAAAATATCGAGTGTTTTATTAAATTGTTAAAAGACAGCACAAGTTATCGTTGTAGAGACCTTCCAAGTCTAGGAAAGAGTTAATATTCCTAAGGAAAATCTTTGTGTTAAACTTATTATAGAAACAGATGAAAACAGACCACTTCTGTTCTCCTATCCAAGTAACTGCCTGGCTTCCCCTGTTAATGGTTTGAGTTCATGACACATTGAATTATATAGAATATGTTTTCTGTCTAAAATGTGGCAGTTTAGCCTATTAATTGCTTTGGCCTGTTACTAATTTGACTTATTACTGACCAGTGACGGTACAATTATTGTCAGTAGTAAAGCGTAGCTCTGCAAAGCTGTATGGAACTATAGACTTGGTTGTGAAGACTCTTATACCAAAAAACCACTGTCAAGTATGTTGGCGAGAGTCACAGTAAACATTTCTAGCTGTGCTAAAAACACTGAAAGTTTTACTTGAAAGTTTTACTTACAGAATGAAAATGGTATGCACAGTTAGGAATGAATGTTTGTATTTGAATAGACAAAAAATATTTCTTAGTCTGTATATCCCACCTACTGTTCTTCACCTGCCTGGAGCAAAGAGAGCTCGTTGGAAAAGCTCTCTGCCTTGGCGAAGCATCTTGTCTATGCCAGCCAACTCCACCTACAGAAAAGCAGAGAGTGTATATAGACCCAAAATGAATCAGAGAATGGTCGAGGTTGGAAGGGATCTCTGGAGGTCCTCTGGTCCAACTCCTCCTGCTCAAGAAGGGCCACCTAGAGCTTGCTGGCCAGGACCAGGCCCAGCCAGCTTTTGAGTATTTCCAAGAATGGAGACTCTACAACCTCCATGGGCAACTTGTGCCAGTGCTCGATCACCCTCACAGTCAAAAAGTGTTTCCTGCTATTCAGAGGGAACCTCCTGTGTTTCATTTGTGCCCATTGCCTCTGGTCCTGTCACTGGGCACCACTGAGAAAAGCCTGGCTCCATCCTCTTTGCACCCTCCCTTCAGGTATTTGTAGACATTGACAAGATCCCCCTGAGCCTTCTCTTCTCCAGGCTGAGCAGTCCCAGCTCTCTCAGCCTTTCCTCATAGGAGAGATGCTCCAGTCCCTCATCATCTTGGTGGCCCTTCACTGGACTCTCTCCAGTATGTCCATGTCTCTCTCACGCTGGGCAGCCCAGAACTGGACACAGCACTCCAGGTGTGGCCTCACCATTGCTGAGTAGAGGGGGAGGAGCACCACCAAGAGAGGCTGTATACACCACTTAGAGGGGCTGTATTGTGAACAGAGTGAGCACAGCAGACGTAACTGCATAGTGTTCTGACCCTTTCTCTCTTAATCCTCCCGTGGCATTAAATCTGCCCCTTTAACTTTTTCTGGGAGTACACAGAGACCAAGATTTATGACCAGCTCTCCGTTCCTCTCAGGAGACAAGGAAACACCTTCTGAGCTACAAAAATGTGTAGAAATTACTATTGATATGTATACAGTAATGATATTTTCACTGAGCTGAACCAATTAAATTTTTATCTTCTGTTGCCTGGATGCCTGCAAGGCATGAGGATGAGATACAAAGTGTTTCAACTTGAGGTGACAATTTCAAATCCAGCTTGAGTCACGAGTGATTTTGACCAAGTTGGTGATTTCAGTCTGTTTCTAATATTTAGCGATCATGTCTGACTGAGTGGGGGAACTGCACTGCCCATACCAGCATGTCTGATTTGTTGACCAGACCAAGGTCTCACAAATCGATGCTTTGACAGTACTTTACGTCTCCATTCTCAAGCTGGCTTTGAACAAACTTTGGGCTTGAGTACTGGTGGCTGTGTAGCTGCTGGGGAATGGAGACATACAGCGATATGCATTTGGTGTGAGCTGCACAGGCCTGTTGCTATCAGGCACCCCATGGGTATTGGCTTTGATTTGCTGGTACTCACCCTGAGACATAGACATCAGCAGAGGTTTGACCACTGGCTGCCTGACTTTGGTCTTTTGTAAAGTCATGCCTTTAAAATTCTGATAAGCAACATTTAACAATCTGATGTTGATATTTCTGTCATAATACAAGTAAGGAAAGTTCTATACTTACTTCTTGTGTTTGTTCCATAGTATTACTACAGTATAAAGGACATCAGTATTGGTGGTCGATGTGTTTGCCATGGCCATGCTGAAGAATGTAATGCAAAGAGTGCTGAAAACCAATACCAGTAAGTAAACTGAGCATAATGTTAATTTAATATGAAAAAAAAAAAAACCAAAGAAAAGAATGTTTTCAAATGACCTTTTTATTATAGAATGATGTAGTCTTACAGAGATTTTTCATCATCTTTAAAAAACTAGAATCTGCTAATGATTGACAAGAAAACATGTCAAGAGCTATTTTTGTGAAATATAATAATAAAAAGTCTTTACTTAGATTTTTATTTTTAATTGAAAGAAGAGCTTGATAGATTGAATAATTTTTTAGAAACCCTTAGGATTTTTTTTTTAAAACATGGGTTGGTATCACCTTCCAACAGCTTTTTAGAAAGCAAATGCAAGAGCAAAGTTAGTGAACTTCGTGGAGATATTGAGCAATATAACTGAGCTCAGCCAAGATCCAATGGCTTCTGATTGTTACTAGAAAAAATAAACAAATTGAATGAACTATTCCCTTTCCCAGTGAAGTTTATGGTCTCCACATTGATTTCACATGGAGTTAGATCAGGCTCCTCGTCTGCTATAGGGAAGTGATTGTAAATAATCAAGCTATATCTCAAACATATTTCAAAAGCCTGGTTTAAACCAACCGTTGCTCTTATCCATGATGGTATTGAAACAATTTTTTATCAGGACAATGCAATATTTTCTGTTGTGTTTTAATGAAGGGTAAGTGGGCAGATGGGTGCCTCATTTCCAAGTGTCTATGCTAGGGAAAAGTAAGTACAGAAGGTGTGAAATCTACAGGAATAGGATGGTTATGCTTGGAAACTGTATTGCCCCTTGATTATTAGACTACACAGATAAGAGAGGAATGTTGGAAAAGGCCTCTCCAGTCTCAAGGTCTCTTTGTTCCTCCTGGGATTCAGTTATTGTGCATAATAGTAAAACCTAGCCCATAATGAGAGCCTGCCCTTTAAGGACGCTATTCAGCTGAAACAAAATAAATATGAACTACATTTTCCTGATGAATAGTGTGCACTATTTTAAAAATAACAAGATGAAGTTATGATCTTGGTTTATTAAAAACACTAATAAAATTATTGTAAACAAAGCATAATGAAAAAATGATGAAGGCATGCATATAAAGGTGAGAAATATTTTGATTTACTATAGGTCAACAAGCTTGAGCCTTGGAATGCAGCTAAAATAGGATACATCCTAAACTGTTATATATCATCTTGATTTAATATTCTAGAATAAAGTTGCATAATCCAGTTTATTGAATCTGATTATAAATGTTCTGTATAAGTAATTTGTGCTAATAAACTCATAATCATATAATTAAAGTGATCAATCGTGAAGAATTTTAGTAAAGTTCCAAAATATTCTAGTATTACTGTTTGACCTTTTTACTTTACATGTCATCTTAGTCCTGTCCTTTTCACACTATGTGTAAATCTTGGGGTGCAATACAATTAAGAAAAAAAGTTTAAATCCAGCTTCAGTCGAGTAAGAGGCTTCCATTTCTGTAGGTTTCAGTGTGAATGTCAGCATAACACTTGTGGGAAAACCTGTGATCGCTGCTGCCCTGGATATAATCAGAAACAGTGGCAACCTGCAACGGCTGGGAGCACAAATCTATGCGAACGTGAGTAGCCTAAAAGATGCTAGGTTAAAAGGAACATTGACAAGTGACCCATTCTATGATTGTATGATAAGTGGGTGGGAATTAGCCATAGCACACGTGTTGATGGAGCATAACTAGCACAACTGCATGTTTTCACACCTTTTTTCTTTGCTGAGAAAATTCTTTCCATGCAGCGATAAGGAACAGGTGATGCAGTGAATATTATTTGTGTTGTTCTCTCTTGCTAAACAATGAAAATAGCCATTTGTGTGAGAATATTACATGAGAAAAGTGGAAGCCTTCTTGTAGTACATCAAGTCAACAGCTGTCCCTGGTCATAGCTGTCTGCTGACAGACTGTGGATCCCCGCTAGCACAGCGGAGACTATGGGCATCTTGTACAACTTCAAAATTTGTCTCCCCATCACCCAGCCTCTTGGTGTTCAGACGGCAGAGACATTGCTCAGGGCTGCCACTGCTTACAGGTGCTTGAGCTGCCCTCTCTTCTCTAGCTGGTGGTCGCCCGTTGCTGACCGTACTTAAGCAGGCATGAAGACATTTCTGGTGGGGAGTCCTGGCAGTTCCACACTTGCACCCCTTCCTGTGCTCGTAGTTGGGAGTTTGGAGTGCTTTAGCCCCACAGACTAAGTAGTCAAGCTGGAGAAGCCCATTGACCTCGCTTCCTCCTCCCTCATGTTACATTCTTTTGTTAAAGAAAATGACGGCACAGACCCCATTTGATGGAGGGGTACATACTGTCACAGCTGGGTGGTTTGCATCCTTCTGGCCAGAAACCAGTGAGTGTGGTACAGACAGTGTTCTCATCTCAATGCACATCCTGTGCTGAGCAAATGTGTTGGCAGCCTGCAGTTTCCTTTGTGCCTGGCCTAATTTATTTTCCTCATCTGCCATTCCTGAGAGTAGCGTAGCCAGTGGGTACAAACCGTTAACAGGGGAACCTGATTTGAAAGCCAGAGAGATGTACCTATGTAATTGAGGAATGAAGAGATGGCTAGTTTAATCAAAACTGCAGTACTAAGACTAAGTGCTGGACGGGGTGGGGGGAAAGATGACTAAAATGTTTGATAGGAGATAGGCATGTTGGGACACAATTTTTTGGAAAATATTTGAAACCTCATTTAAATTCTCCTCTTTGAAAGGAAAACATTTTCTGCCAGGAAAGAGATAGACAAAGAGCATAAATAATGCCATGTTTTTTTAAAGAATGAGTTTATAGAAGATCATCTATAAGATTCTGAGCCAAAACAATTTTGCTTCTAACTATCTCTAAAAATACCTTTTTTAGTATGGATTGCTCCTAGCAGTTTTAGGTGATTTGTTGAGAGTGTTTGCCAGGTGCAGACCTCTTTTCCTGGCAGCCAGTAGTGAAGGAATTAAAGCAACCTCATTAAGCTTCCCAGAAGCCTGAGGTCCCTTGAGAGAAACTCATTGAAAGAGGTTGGTAGGAGCTTGTGGAGATAAGCTCAACCTTTTGCTATGAGTTTCCCAGTACTGTATGGATCAGCAAATGGCCCAAAGTGGTAAGAAGATGCTTGATGAGGTAGAAGGGTTTTCTGTTCCCCTGTGAGAGAAAATGCCATTACTATAATCAGAGCAAACAATTTCCCCTTGCTATTAGAAGACATACTTGGGAGCTGAAGCTCACAGAAGCCCTAGAGGCAAGGAGCTTTTATTTACATTGTAAATGTGGTGGGGTTTTTTTTTTAATGTTCTCTCTTTTTCTAACTTAGTATCTTGAACCAGCATCTCATTTGTGTAATGTTTTATTTTCGTGAAGAATTATATGAATAAAAATCCCAAAAGATCTTCACAGGCTATTACAATCTGGCTAAGGAGCCCAGTCTAGATCTGTCTGGTCCTGTCAGCAGACCATAAGGGAACCTGATGGTAGGCCACCACCTCAGCTGTGTTGTTGCTAGTTTCTAGGCCCTTAGCTTCGGTTTTGAGAAGCCTTCCAGAGTATTTTATCCCCTAGTCCAGATGAAGGGATGATTTCCCTAAATACATAGCTTTATAAAGTCAAAACTTCAGGAATTCCCTGGGAAGGTTTCCTTAGAGTGCTGGAACGTCTGTAATGAAAAGCTCACTTAGCACCCAGATGCTCGGGGAAGCCTTTTTTGCTTCCTGCATTCTTTCAGAAAAATTCCTGTTGTTCCTCTCCAGTGAGGAAAGAAGATCAGATCAGGAAGGAAAAAAAAAAAAAAAAAAAAGACATAAAATGAATTTATGGCAAAACTGTGGTCCTGCCCTTTGATTTATTTTGTTTGCTTGCTACTATGGTTGGTTCCTATTCAGTTTTGTGTTATAGTTCTGGAAGATTTCAGTGAAGACAGGCAGAGCTTTACATGACCAATGGGAAGAGATTCTTTTTAACTAAGATGGGAAGGTTATGAGATACACATAACCGATCTCTAGGAAATTAGACAAATTATTTTCTGGGTAAATTCATAAATCCATCACCCTTTACTCAAACTTTATTTGCAGGAACTTTTCAAAGTGTGGAGCTATTTTTCAGGTTATTTCTCTTCTGCTAGCAAGGCACAAACATTCAGGTGGCTCTGGGATTTCTATTGCTAGGCCTTTTTGCCAAAGGTAAAACAGCAAAGGCTTTTTGGGATTTACGTCTCCCACGTGAATATAAGGAGATCGGCGAAGCCAGGTGATGCATGTACAAGGCCACGAGTGGATTTATCAGTGGATGTATCTCAGACGTTTTCAATAGGTGAACTTCCTAGATTGAGACATCTGTGAGGCTGATGTGCCTGCAAGCAAAGCCTCACAGGTGTCTCTCAGTCTCTTCTGAGCACTGCAATATTAACGTCTGTTAGAAGGAGTTAAAAGTATAGCAGAACATGTATGTAGAGATGGATTCAGAGCCACTGTGAGTTCAGCTGTTACCTTTATTTGACTTAAGAGAAGGGAAAAATTAAAGGAAAGGAGCTAACCCCAAACCACCTGAAGTAAAATTTGTCACAGCTGAGATACATACAAACAACTAGACATATAAACAACCAGACACTGGGGAAATAAGTTATCTCAGTCATCTAATTCTATCTTTTTCTATATAATAATAATAATATTGTTTGTCAAACCATACTTCTTTTTGAATCCACAATTCCCAGGAAGTAGAATGAACTCGTGGTTAAAACTTCTCCATTCAGAAGACAGCAGCTGGGTAAATGTACAGCCAAGTTTGCTGGTATATCTGTATTTATGACTGAATATGAGAGTTCTTTGGTGTGGGTCTTTTTATTCAAATGTGTATATCTTCTCTGTAATTATTTATTTTAAATAAAGGTTTAGTGCACACAGCTTCAGCCCAGATGTATTTTTAGACATGGAAAAATAGAATAAACATTTGAACGTGGTTTTGATAATTTTTAAAAACTGCTGAGACCATTCTTCTGGAGCTTCCTAGTTCTGCATTTATGTATAAATATATTGTTTTGAGATGGTACAACTCTTGCCTCCTCTGATAAGCCTAGCAGCACATGTACTCCTCATATCTAGATGATCTTACTGTGTTTCTGGTGTGAAAATCCAGTTGTTAATAGGAAATAGGTGTATTTGAGCATACTCCAACATACCTGAGTGTATGTATACATTAAAAAATCTAAGCTTCTTTTTGATCTCTGCTACATTACTGAATTCCAGCATTATAATGGAAGCTGACTTGGAATATTACTTTTTCAGCGTGCAATTGCCATGGTCATGCCACTGATTGCTACTATGATGCTGAGGTTGATCAGCGTCGAGAAAGCTTAAACATCCATGGGCATTATGAAGGTGGAGGAGTCTGTATTAACTGCCAGGTAAGAAGGTAGTTTTAGTCAGTTTAAATCAATGACATTTGAAGAAGGGCTACTGGAGTGGGACAGTGCCCACACCAATAGTTTGGAATCTGACTAGTCTAGATAGCTCCATTTCTCTGGGGTTGTTATGTGTACACGAAGAAGGAAAAAAGGTGTCTGAAAATAATTTACATTGTACAACGTTGCTTGTTAATGTGTAAAAGACACATATAAATTGTATTTATTCTCAGCGTTGTGTGATTCAAATAAAGCCACACAATGCAACAATTACATGAACTACAAAAATTTCTTTTCCTGTTATTACAAACTCTGCCATTTCCCTGCTTAACAGAAGGAAGTAAAATTAACCAAATATAACTCCAGCTGAGGCCAGCTGGTTCCGTATTGCAGCAAAACACAGAGGGCTCTCCCTCATCAGCAGGAGTAAAGGAGAGCATAGACTATACCAAGAAGGAAGCTTGTAGTTATTGAAAAAGCACAGAATCATAGAAGGGACCTCTGGAAGTCATCTAGACTAGTGCTCCACTCAAACCAAGGCTAGATGTAAAGTTCTATCAGGTTGCACTGAGAAATGTCCAGTTGAGTTCTGAAAATTTCCGGGGATGGAGATTACACAGACTCTGGGTAATCTTTTACAGCACTTAATTGCTGTCATTGTAAAGAAATTTTTGTTACTCTTCAGTAGGAATTTCCCCAATTGCAACTTGTGACAGTTGGCTTTTGTCCTTTTGCTGTGCACATCTGAGAAGAGTTGGCTCTGTCTTCGGTGTAACCCTCTCTTAGGTAGAGGAAAACTGCCATTAGACACCTCTACCCCCCTTGAACATCTCTTCTCCAAGCCAACCAAAGCCATTCCCTCAGTTTTTCCTTGCATGTCACATGCTTCAGCCTCTTAACTCCCTTAGAGGCTTGGTTGGATTGAATCAATAGATGTAAATTTGGAATCAGAGACTTTAACACTCTATCTATCTGTCATTAATGAATAGAGCTTTCTTGGAAAGAGAAAGAATGTTTCTCATCCTGAGTACTTTTGTTCTACTCTGGCTAATTACTATCAGGAAAGATCATACAAGACTCTGATCAACCTGATCTAATCTTGGACTTATCTCTACTTTGAGTGGGATTGAACCACCTGACCTCCTGAGGTTCCTTACAACCTAAATCATTCATTGGTTCAGTGATCTCAGGGTTAAATACATCCAGACTTACTTGGAAGTCTGTCTGCCTTTTGTTGTGAAGGCATCTGAAGTATGATGACAAGCAGCTGACCAGAACATAATTCAGAGGGAAAATTATCGTCAAGCTGATATTCTTATGAAAAACTATGCATCATGATTTATGTATTGCCATGCTGTGCATTTAAAAATATAGCTATATTTAAGCAACAAAAAAAAGGGAAATATCCAGTAAAACTTATAGGGTATGTAGCAGCTGACCAGAACATAATTCAGAGGGAAAATTATCGTCAAGCTGATATTCTTATGAAAAACTATGCATCATGATTTATGTATTGCCATGCTGTGCATTTAAAAATATAGCTGTATTTAAGCAACAAAAAAAGGGAAATATCCAGTAAAACTTAGAGGGTATGTTTTCCATCTCTTTGACACAATATAATCAGATATTGTTCAAAAGGCAGTCAGAAAAGAGTAGAGTTATTTTTACTAGCATGAGTAGAAGAAATGTTCTTTGTCTTCCAATTGACATTTCGGTATAGAACTTTGTTCATGCAGTCTGGTAAGATTTATCATGTTGGTCCTTCCTGTCAGCTTTGTTCATGAAAGAACATTTCTCTTATATTGCTTCCAGGATAGAAAAGAGCAAAATTAATCTAAATCTCTGAGTCCTGGTTATATAACTGATACTAATTGTTTGTAACCTAATTTTGTGGAAGTTATGCTGGATTTAATGAGTTTACCATAAATGTAGTTTCAGCATTTTTTCCATGGATAAAGGACATGGATTTGAATTTACTTTTTCTGTTTGTGATGGGGAAAAGAAGTGTTAGGAGTGGATGCCTGAACAAAGAAGTGATAGAACTGAAATATTGCATACAAAGATAAATTTAGTTTCTTTAGAGTCTGATAACAAAGGAGCTCTGGAAATAATGTGTTCCAGCCTCCTACTCAAAGCAGGTCTAATTATATCAGGTTGCTCAGGGATGTGTTCGGTCAAGCCTTGAACACCTCCAAGGATGGACATGCCACAACCACTTATGGCAACCTGTTTCAGTGTTTGACCACCTTCATGATAATTTTTTTCCCCCTAATATCTAATTGGAATTTTCCATGTTCCAATCTGTGCCCGTTGCCTCTCATCCTATTGCTGTGCACCTCTTAGAAGAGTCTGGCTCCATCCCCTCTGTACCCTCTGATCAGGTACTTGTAGGTAGTAGTAAGTTCTCCCTTCTCTTCTTAATGCTGAAGAGACCCTGCTGTCTCAGCCTCTTCTTGGATGTCCTGTGCTTCAGTCCCCCACCATCTTGGTGGCTCTGCCTGCTCCATGTCCACAGCACCAGTCACCTTACCACAGAGAGCAATGAGGTTGATTGGGCGTTCTCTGCCCCAGGTAAATCTGTTAAATATGCCCAATCACCTTCCTGTCCTTCATGTGTTTAGAAATTACTTCTAAAATGATTTGTTCCCTGGATCTCCTTCCCCACTGAGCAGTGGGCCTCTACTCCCATTAGCTTTTCTTTTGCTGCTGATGTACTCCTAGAAACCTTTCTTTTTCGCACTTCACCTGCCTTGCTAGTTTTAACTCCAACTAAGCTTTGGCTTTCCTAACTCCACTCCTACATGTGTGGGCAATGTCTTTGTATAGCCACCAAGTAGCCTGTTCCTGCTTCCACTGTCTGTGTACTTACTTTTTGAGTTTGAGATCAATCAGGAGCTCTGTATTTATCTGTGCTGGCCTTCTGCCATACTTCCTTGACTTTCTGCACATCAGAAAGAACTTCTAAGGAGGCTATCCATGAAAATCAACTAGCTCTCCTGGTCCCCTTTCCCTTCTAGGGCAGTTTCACCCAGGATCTTGCCAAGCAGATACCTGAACAACCCAAAATCTGATTTTCTGAAGTCCAGGATTGTAATTCTGCGTTTTGTCTTGCTTACTTGTCTCAGGACCTAAACATTCATAGTCTTGTGTTTGCTGCAGCCAAAGCTGCTCTCAGCCTTCATGTCTTCCACCAGTTCTTCTTTGTTTGTGGGTGTCAGCTTGAACATCTCTCCTAACTGGTTCATCAACCCTGCATCCAGAAGTTGTCTTTGATACATGCGAAATAACTTCTGGATTGCTTGCACCCAGCTGCATTGCCCTTCTGGCAGATATTGGGGTGGTTAAAGTCATCTAAGAGTATCAAAACTTTCTCTAGCTGCCTAGAGAAGGCATCATCTGCCTTCTTGTTCAGGTGGTCTGTAACAGACGCCTACTGCAATATCAGCTGTGCTGGTCTGTCCTCTGCTCCGTACCCACAAGCTCTGCACAGGTTCATCACCTGCCCCAGCCCCAAGGAGAGGCCCAGGCACTCTCTGCTGCCCCAGACCTGGACAGTGGCATCCACCTCCTGGACTTCTGTCTGATGTGCCATGGGCATTAGCACCACTAGTCTCCGAAGAATGTACCCTACAGTGTGTTGAGACCATCACTGCACAATCTCCAAGTAGCCCTACACAGTGCTGGGCCCCTCTGTGCTCCTGCAACAGCTACTGTGTCTCCAGCTGTGCGATGTGAGCATCACCCTCCCTGATGTAGTGTCAGCCTTTCCCAGCAGTAGCTCAGATCTGAAGATGCTAGAGGAGGCTCTTGGAAGAGCTGGAAGCAGAATCCAAAACTGCTGCGCAAACTGAGAGTGCCAACGGTGAGTAGCAGCCCCAGCAGCATCCTGGGTGCTCTGCTCACGAGCTGCCCCACCAGTCCCTCCATTAAATGCTGGGTCCCTGCTCAGCCCTGAATTGCAGCGCTCCCTAAGGAGGAACTAAACAGCGAGTGGGACCTGGGGGCAGCTGCTTTGGTTGCTCCAGGGCGAAGCTTCCTCCCCCACATCCACTTCCCTGCTCAGGAGACTAT